TTTCAACATATGAATTTTAGGAACACACAAACATTCAGTCTATAACAATAAGTGAAGCAAAACTTTTTAAAAAGCTTTCCAAAGTGCTTTATCAACTGGAATTAGTAGTCTCATAAATAAATAATCTATAATGTAATTACTAAAGTTGATTGCTAACTTTCAAAATTTAAAAAAAAAAAATCTGTTTAATGGATAAAGGAGTCATCCATTAAAAGTACAAGATGAATTTAACCTGAAATAGAGTTGGCTGTTGTGATATGAATGATTAAATAATCTATATAGTTAGCTAAATATGTGCTTCATGCATTTCTGTAAACCTTGTAAACCACACAAACTACGGCTAAGTAAACTGGGCAAAGGAAGTAACAACACTGCTCTCATCAGTATGCCTTTTAAATGAATAGACAGGAATTTGGATCTAAAGCACAGGAAGGCTTTGCATTCAATATGTGGGGGGCAAACTTCATACTCAGCACCCTAACCCCAGATCAGTGTTTCTCAAATTTGCAGACTGAACGAATCCCTTTTTAGAGAAAAGGGCTTTCAAAAACTGGCGTAGAGTCTTATGTTGATTCAAATTGTTTATTACATATCATATCTTTATTATAGCATTGCTTAAACGTTTATAATTATAAAACTACATTTCAATTACTTACCATATAAAACTAATTAATGGCTTATACATTTTGTACAAGTATGAAACCTAAACAAGCAAATTTAAAATGCATAAGGAAAAAAAAATTAACCAAATTTCAGCGAGCATATTTGTGTGCCTCCTCTCCCTGATTTAATCCTTTCCTACTTTTTTCCAGCTTTCTGGAACAATGTCAAAAGTCATTCATTTGGTGGGAACTCATTCTCCACAAGCAAACTACAAAGTGTACATGTTCAGTTCCCATATCCAAAGTTAAAAAAGGTTCCCAAAGAAAGAAGAAGAAGAATGTAGAAAATACCAGTCAAAAAGCAAAATGTATTAGGGCTCTGGGCTAAGGAGTTAAAATTATCTGACTATATTTCTGTTCAAAAAATGTGCATTTCTGCATGTTTTCTTGTCACTAGATAAGAGACCATTGCGAATCAAGTGCATGAGAGACAGGCAGCATGACCACTCATTAGCCATGACAATAGGCACAATCCACTGGCTTGAAGAAAAGGCCAGCCATAACCATGGTTCTTTTATATTCATGATTCAATTCTAGGAATACTGTATACAGACAGTCAAATTGCTCACCTAGTCTCAAAAACATTGAGATTACAGCCCCCAGTGTGAAGTTACTAAGAAATGCAGATGAAAATGACTGTTAGTCATCAGTGGAGCCTTCACACTTCATTGAGAGTCCAAGTGGAACATGATCTATGAATCTCAGTATATTGTAAAGCACCCAGTGATGGTCCTCCACACAATGACTGAATGATCAACAATGCAGATGCTTCCTGTAGCAGGAGAGGGCATCCACGGTGTGTGCCACTCAATTCATCAGACTCCAGTGCATGTTCCCCTTTGAGAACAAAGTCAGGTTTAGCCCATTGTGAAACATTTGAAAGATGATATCAAAAAAGAAAAGTAAATGCTATGTTGAACTAATAAACAGAACTGTTCTTTTCCAGCCTTTGCATGAAGACAGAGGTTATCTGGAATTTGATTGTATGTCTCACACTGTCTAGCGCTAATTACAAGTAAGTAATCAATGAGGAAAGTACTTACAATCAACAAGTAAACAACAGCGCAGGCCTTTCACATAAGGGTTGTGGAACCAGAGGGAGAAACCACAGAGGGAAACTTTCACAGCCAAAGCTGAATCAAGTTTAAACATTCATGCCTGTCTGCTTTCTAAGGGCTCCTAAAAAAGACTTCTCCCTGATCATTCCAAAAATTATTATTACAGGATATGCATTATTAGCATTAGCAAAGACAAGTTTGTCTTTTCTGTCTTGTGTATACACACCAAATGGCAGCATGCTGGAGCTGGCTAACACTGGCTTACAGAAGCTGATAGTGCACGTCTCTACCCATCTTTGTGTTCAGTAAATCACACTGATGTTTGAAACTGATGACAGAAAAAGTATTTCTACCAAATAAATCATCAAACACTACAAATCAGGGATTTCTCCTCAAAATCCTGACCTCCACCATGAGCAGGTTGTTAAATGTTTATTAACACCGCACCGCACCACTGTAGTGTGTGTATTCATTGTGCTACTGATCACACAATGTGCCAAAAACAGGGTACAAAACTGTGAACCAGATAGAGATACTTCTGTCCTCATATATCTTAATGGTTTTAAAAAGTTGTTCTGCTTCATTCCTACTTTATCCTGTATCTCTACTTGTGAATGTTCTACCCATTCTTTAAGCCATCTCTATTTTACATGATATTAATGTCTCCCATAGCTATATATCTCAAAGCAGACAAGTTTTATATATTTGTTGCAAGGTTTGCTTAGCATGATGTACACTGTGGATGGCAAGAGTAGAGAGGTAGGGAAACACTCAAAATGTTGGAATTGATTGAGAGGAATGCTTATACTATTTCAATAGAATGGTGATGCTTCATGCGTTTTTCCACAGGCTCTCCTCTTATATCTGCAGGGCTAAGGAAAGGAGTATAAATAGAAGATCCCAGTGTGGCCCTCCCTTTCCTCTTTCCACCCTCCTAATCTGCAACTGTGAAAGGCCTCATGCATGAATGGAGTAGGGTGGCCAACCCTCCCACTTCCTGTGGTATTAAGGGGTGTTGCAGGACCCAGGACTTGAATGTTAAAACTGGTACGGACCCGCACAAACCAGGATTGCTCAAGCTTTGGATTAAAGAAAGAAACTTACGTAGACAGGCCCTGACAGCAACACAGCATCTGCTGGTCAGAGAATTCTAGGGTTTTGGCAACATTAGACAGGTGGGAGATCAGACAAGTGGAAAAGTGAGTGTGTCGTGGCACATAAACACCAGGTGTCTTCCTTTTGCCTCACAAACACCTCCCCCTGAGGCGCTATCATAGATTCAGGGCATTTAGTAGTATAAAAAAGATACCAACTTGTATATAAAGTCAAATATTTTAAAGTATGTTCAAGTTATTATGTGTTTTCTGCAGTATTGCAAAGTCTTCCTTTCTGATCTCCTTGCATACATTTTTTGGGCTTGTTTCAGTCTATTTACCATACCATAACCAGAGTGATAAAACCTATCCAAAGCTCTTTAATGACCTCGCATTAAAGATCAGGATCCCTAACTTGGTAAAATGGGCCCTGTATGATAGCATGACCCTTTTCTCTCTCTCATACGCGCACACACACACACACACACACACACACTGGGGCTCATGTTATGTGACTCACCCTCTCACTCACAGTCACATTGGCCTAACTTTAAGTTCTTTAAAATGTTCCGTATTTCTGCCTGCTTCAGGTCTTGCATACATCAGACCCCATGTGCCATGGTCACAACATGAAATGTCTTTCTGGATAAAGATTTTCCTGTCCATTCCTCAGTCTAGATCAAGGTCTCATCCCCAGCCTCACCCTACGGTCTCAGGGCTTACTTTGCTTTTCCTTTTTGGCACATTTTACACTTGGTAATATGATGATATATGAGAAGTATCTAAATCCTCTCCGAGGCTTGTAAGCTTGGGGACAGCAACATAGTATTAGCTACTTTATCTCAATATTCAGGCATATAGTAAACAGGAACTAGTTGAGAAAAAGGGGAAAGAAGAAAGGAAGGAAGAAAAGGGAAGTGACCAAGCTTTCTTAAAGGCGAGAAAGTTTTCTACATTGGGAGTTTTAATTGTTTTATCCTTAGTATTTTGTAAAAATCCACTCACTTTAAAGGCAGGAGTTATTTTTCTCCCTTAAAAGAAAAAGCATTGACAGAATATATTCACATTAGAGGGATTTTGTTACATGATGTAATGGATTTGTGAAACAACATTAAAAAAAAAAAAAAAGAAAGCTAGAAAAATGCAAGTAGGGTTTGTAAACTATTAATTTCTCTTCCTCTCTCTTCTCCTTTCCTACACTCAGATCCTTGTCATAATAGTTTTACAAACTCTGAGAAGAAAAAAAAAAAGATTAAATTTACTCTCAGGAAAGGGCAAAAGATTACTAAAGCACAAACTGTTACTCTTTTATATAGTTTCAGCAGCTTTAACATTTGAAAAATGCAAATAGTCTTAAGTTAAAAAAAATCTAGTTGGCATTTCAATTTTGTATGTATCATTTTGATAATAAAAATCATTTCTTTAGGCCAAAGAAAAAACAAAGTTTCATGTTTATAAAACAACTGCCAAGCTACAGATTCAACAGATATCTTCTCTTTATCCCTCTCTCTACTCTTCCTCTCATCTCTTCCTGAGTCTCATCAAAGCACTCATGCCAAGAAACCACTTTATCCAGGGAAGGTGGCCACATACTCCAAGAAACAGCAATTGATCTACAAATGCTGACAGTGAGATACAAGCTCTGGAGAATGAACTGGTCAAACTGGAAACAGTATGTTGAATAACTGGAAGGATTTTTCTTCTCAAATTCTAGGATTTTTTTTTTTCTTTTTCTTTAGACAGGGTCTCACTCTGTCACCCAGGCTGGAGTGCAGTGGGGCGATCTCAGCTCACTGCAACTTCTGCCTCCAGGGCCCAGGCGATCCTCCCACCTCAGCCTCCTGAGTAGCTGGGACTACAAGCACTTGCCACCATGTCCAGCTACTTTTTTTTTTTTTTGGTAGAGACGGAGTTTCACTGTATCGCCCAGGCTGGTCTTGAACTGAGCTCAAGCGATCCTCCTGCCTGGAAATAACCTCTTTTATACTTAAGGCAAAGCGGAAAGCAAGAGCTCCTAGCCCAAGATGGCCAGCAGGAAGGAAGCTGCCGCTGCGTCGTTGAGGCGAGGCCCAATTCCTTGCCTGGCCGCCAGGGAGAGTAGACTCCACAGCTGCCTCTCTGCTCACCTCAATGCCCCAGGTCGCGCAGGCGCGGAGGCTCCAGGCGTCGCGGCGTCTCTAGTTGCGACGTCGCGAAAGAGAGTCGTCACATCTTCCTCAGGACTCTACTGTACCCGCGCGGGACGACGGGCAACGTATATAAGATGCGCGCAGGCGCAGTTCAGGGAGTGCCCTTTCACTTCGACGCAGTGAAGACGTTCCTGTGTTGCCATGGGCCGCCGTCCAGCTCGTTGTTACCGGTATTGTAAGAACAAGCCGTACCCAAAATCTCGTTTCTGCCGAGGGGTTCCTGATGCCAAGATCCGCATCTTTGACCTGGGTCGAAAGAAGGCAAAAGTGGATGAATTCCCACTCTGTGGCCACATGGTGTCTGATGAATATGAGCAGCTGTCTTCTGAAGCCCTGGAGGCCGCCCGTATTTGCGCCAACAAGTACATGGTGAAAAGTTGTGGCAGAGATGGCTTTCACATGCGAGTGCGGCTCCATCCCTTCCATGTCATCCGCATCAACAAGATGTTGTCCTGTGCTGGGGCTGACAGGCTCCAGACAGGTATGCGAGGTGCCTTTGGAAAACCCCAGGGTACTGTGGCCCGGGTCCACATTGGTCAAGTCATCATGTCCATCCGCACCAAGCTTCAGAACAAGGAGCATGTGATTGAAGCCTTGCGCAGGGCTAAGTTCAAGTTCCCTGGACGCCAGAAGATTCATATCTCCAAGAAGTGGGGCTTCACAAAGTTTAATGCTGACGAATTTGAAGACATGGTGGCCAAGAAGCGCCTCATCCCTGACGGTTGTGGAGTCAAGTACGTTCCCAGTCACGGCCCTTTGGACAAGTGGCGGGTTCTGCACTCATGAAGGCTTTGGCAGCACTGTCTCCTTGGGCCATGCCGGTCTGACTTATGCTTACTAATAAATTCTGTTTACTGACAAAAATAACTACTTTTTAAATTTTAATATTTTTAACTATCCAGTGTTTTAGAATATAGACTGCTAGATAATTTTTTTTCAATTTATGCCATTTTAATGGCAAATGTTACCTTCCTTCAGTAAAACTATACAATTTATAGAGAAAGCTATTACTGTTTTAATCAAACACTTTAGGAGAGTATAGAGCAGTATGTTGAAAGTTTTGTTTGTAGTAAAGTCGTAAGTTATGCAGCTATCATTCCTTGAATAAAAAATAGATTTGAGTGAAAAAATTTATTGTTTATAGAATATAAACTAAACAGTAGCGATGAAAATAATAGTAGGCATTAGTGATATTTCAACCGCAGCCCCTGTGGAAGTAATTTATTTCTAAACTTGGTTGCCTTATGTTTTCCTATAAATTTCTGTACATTGTTTTTAGAATTACCTTACACCTCTGATTATCAGCCTTAGGACAATTGAGTATCACTGAAAAAGGCTTTTCCAGATGAACTTTACATTGTTTCACAGTCAAGAGATAACAGTCTAATCTTTTTTTCATCATAGAAAAGTCATAGGTGACAACAGAGTTCATATTGCTTGTATCTGGGCTCCAGTAGAACCAAAAGAAGAGAGAAAATGACACTAAATCAGCTATCTGTACTCTAAAAGGACCCTAGAGAGAGTTTGCAATTGTAGGTGCTTGTCCTGTATTAGAGTTACATTGATCACACAAGTGCTTTTTGTTTTATTTTTGAAACTACGTAAGCTAAAATTCCTGAGTTTGTACTGCATTAAAAAAATTCCTGTTCTTTACAATTGACTTAGCCTTTTCAATCTCAATCCTACTAACAGTGCCTTCGGTGTTTTTATACTAATGGTTCTTTTTCAAAGTCAACACGTTTAATGAAAACAACAAAAGAAATACTAAATAGTATAGAAACACTACTATTTAATTTTCTTTTATTTAAAAAATTGCTTTGTCAGTCTTAACATGTTGTATCTGGCTGGATATTTCTTTCAGGCCCTTGCTATATTTCCTATTTGTATATATTTAAGCTATGTTCCTATTTTAAGACGTTTTTTATGTTTGCGTTTTGCCACACTTTCAAAAACGAAAATTCAACCTCAGTAATAATAATCAAAAGGGAAAGGCAATACAAAACACGATAAAATAAGCAACCCCTTAGCTTCTAGTACAACCATGGCCCAGCTTTGAAAATGTTTTCCATCTTCATTATTTCCCTTTCTCTTTGGTCTTAAACCTCTCAAAACATGTTGACCTTCAAACTTGGAACTCTGCACTCACTAAATATACAGGGAGAGAGGTAAGTATAGGCTCATGAACTTTTTTGCCCTAAGGGATTGGTAACAGTAATTTTTCATGCATATAGATATGGGAGTGAAGAGAAAATGAAAGATTAAAAATTAATACTTTAAAACCTGGCAGGTAGCTGTCAATTTTTTATTTGAATTTTCCCACAGTTTCACGTTATAAGGATTATATATAAATTCTTTTTTAAAATGTCGACATGCAAGCACTTTTACTTGTTTTTGTTAAAAATCCTTCCTACTAATTTTCCCCAAGCCATAATTTTGTTTTTTCAGCATTTTCTTATTTTAGGGTCATTCTAATTATTATTTTTAAAAATGGTAGGGCAACTGGGCTGAAGGATAGTTTCATTATAATTTTGCAGAGTTCGTTATTTTAAAATTTCTGTTCAAAATGGAAAATTGCATTTGGGAACATATTTATGTCCATTTACTGCTGCAATAAAATGAACTGTTTGCTCATTTGAAATAAAAAAATACAAGCATAGTTAATGAAATTCAAGCAAATACTGCCCAATGAAACTTTTTTATTTAATTGATTAAATATATAGGTTTTAATGGAAAATACTGACTGAATAAGAAGATGAAGAAAACTTCAGTAGGACTATGTACTGTATCAATTTAGTTTTGAAAAGCGTATTTCATAAATGATTGTTATATAATCCATCATTTCTACTCCCTCAAAATATACAACTGTATTAACCATATTTAGCTTGAAAAATCTTTAATTTTTATAAAAATATACATTAGCTCTTCCGTGAATTGGCTGTCACTAACATTGGCAAGCATTTTACTTCTGCTTTAGCAGCCTTGTGCTGCCTACCCTTACATAATTTAAGTAGAGCTTTCTGGTTCTCAGAATGTTACTACTGACCTAAGGATTGAGCTAAGACATCATTTCACCTCATTCATCTTCCTGGCTTTATATTAATGCCCTTTTTGTTTTTGCTTTTGTTTGTATTTCAGTGTAATGACCTCATTTTCATAAAAATACCTATATATTCTTTTTTAACAGCAAATTAGGTGAAAAATAGTAAAGTCAAAATAAATTATACTTGCAATAATAATTCAAAATGAGGTTATTGTCACTAAACAATCTATAAGAAGAAAAGCTGGTGTCAGGATGATTGGATTTGAATCAGCCTTTTTACTTTCTTGGGCAAATTACTAAGTTTAGCCATTCTTAGTCATTTTGCTTTCTATAAAATGAGATGAAGACACTTTAGTGATAGGGTTGATTTTGGGATTAAATGAGATAATGCATTGAGAAATTGATTTTTATTATCATTATGATTATTTATTTTTTTGAGACAGGGTCACCCAGGCTAGAGTGCAGTGGCATGATCATGGCTCACTGTAGCCCTGACCTTCCCAGACTTTGGTGATCCTCCCATCTCAGCATCCCAAGTTGCTGGACCTGCAGGCATGCACCACCATGCTCAGCTAATGTTTTTGTATTTTTTGTAGAAGTGGGATTTTTTCATGATGCCCAGGCTGGTCTCAAACTCCTGGGCTCAAGCAATCTGCCCACCTCTGCCTCCCAAAGTGCTAAGATTATAGGCATGAGCCACTGTACCTGGTAGAGAAATGGAACACTATTGTGCTTTGCACATGTTAATTATACAAAATTGATATTCAGTTAATATTGATGTTATTACATTTGCTCTTGCTTCACCCCTCAACTACTAATTTTTGGTGCTTGTATTACTATTTTTTCTTGATTTATACCTTAATATTCTGTCTTGCAATCATTGCTTCCAGTTATATATTCTTAGTTCTGGATTTAAATGGATTCAATAATCTGTTTCAAGTTTTTTTTTTAATCTTTAGTTCTGTAATTCCCAGTTTCATGTCATTGTGTTTTGTCATCTCTTTGTGAAATTCTTCTGAAAAAAATGTATGCTTTACTGATTATCCTCTACATATGACTCACTTATGGGGATTAGCTTACTTTTCTGTCCCCCAACTGGATTTCTTATCTACTTTAGCCACTTGTTAAATTCAATATTATTTTTCTTTTTTTTCATTTTTATTTTCCAAAGAATGATTATATGGCTATCATTTCATTATTTTTATACGGCTTGTATGTCATGTAGAGTATTCTGCTCATTCTATTTAATCAGAAAGGTTGTGGGTGCATTTCTCTTGTCACTGTTTCACAAAACTTTTGACATTTTTTTGTTCATCTAGACTTCTCATTGGGTGTTTCTTTCCATGGCCTTGGGATGAGAGGATGGGGAAAAGAGAGAACTTGAAGGTTTAAGTATACCCTTTGATGCTGGCTAGATTCCACTTCTTCTGAGATCCATTAAATATCCTACACCAAAGCACACTCCAGTCAGCCAGGTACACAGTCCACTCTCCAGCTGTGACATATTCACCTTTGGCCTGCTATTATTCGGTGCACAACCCTGGAAAATGTCAAACCCAATTGCTGTGCATCTTTGGTGTTGGTGTGACCTCCACTTGTCAATGGATTTTTCTACAATTTTTGCTTGTGTAAGTCTATGTTAAGTACATTTCTCTACATATTAAGGCATCATTGAAACATATTTTTTTAAATTCGTTTCTTTTCAGAAATTTTATATTTTGAGAGGTTGGACAGTTCTGAAAAGGTACATGCTATAAATGATCGTTATATAACTCATGATTTCCTCCAATCCCTCAAAATATGGAATTACACTAAATGTATTCAGCCAGAAATCTTTAATTTAAGAAAGCAAAATCTGGTTCTGACTTACCACATGAGAATACTGCCTTCATTTTTATATCTCCTCCTAAATTTATGACATATATAACTATTTCCTTGTCTGCCTTTGGCTATATTTATTTTATCACATTTTATTCATTTCATTAGGTATTGGGGAAAGAAATCATCTGATCATGTTTTTCCTCAGGTTTTTTTTCAGAATATTTTTTAATGTCGGACTAAAGAATGATCTACCTTTGGAGACTTTAATATTTCAGACAACTCATGTAAAAACTCTACATTTCCACATTTGTAATAACTTCCAGTTATTTTTTATTGTTGTGGCTCTCAAATAATTATACCTAAAATACTTTGAGTATCAAAATGATAAACTTTAAATATCAATTCCAAAAAGATCAACTTTGTGTTTGTGTCCATACAGAATCTTAACAACTCTCAATATGTTATAAATAATAAGCTAATTAATTAGTTTTATATGTGCATATAAATAGACAAGAGTTACTGATTAAGATATATTTTTGTGCTTCACATATTTAAAGAACAGGACCATATGTACAGTAGAAAATGTATTTTGAGGGCCATATTCTTTGACACTTCAAGGGTCCTATTCATGAAATTTCCTTTTGTACTAATTTGGTCACTGATAAATAGAAATATATGAGGTTGAGGAAGAGGACAGAATGTTTTGGGCAAATGGAGTCTTCTCAAAGGTGTAACTGTCCCATCTGCTCTCAGAGAGGAAGAGGACATTACAATGACAGGAAATGGTGTTTTATTTTGCCCAAATGTTACATCACTAAACTGAGACTTCATGGTGATGGTAAAGACAGAAGAGATGGTGGAACTGATATAGAGATTGTCAGGAAACAGCCCTTATATTCAGTCTCTGACATAATAAGGATAAGACTTACATTTCCTGTTAGTGTGGGACCATTATAGTATTTTAAATATAAGCAACATTGTATGTTCTGTGCCCTATACTT